AGGACTCTTGTAATCTCCTATTTAAGGAGACCCCATTATTGAATGAGATAGGAAATTATTCAGTCAAGAGTGAGTTAGGAGAGTTGGTGATCTCTTGGACAAATCACYRAAGGYRYCAWGATAGGTTCATCACGAGCAGGAAGGAACAAGGGAAAACAGGAGGTTTTCCCCGTGGACCGACCCGTGACGAGATCCTATTCCTAGGCCCGCAACAAACCCCCTCTGTATCTCCATGTGGTACATTTTCATCTATGCCTAAAGGAGAAGTGATCATCTAGCAAGAGATCTAGCTGATATTTAGAAAACCATTTTCCATAAATCTACATGATCTGCATAAATGCATGTGCATGCATGCAATATTTATGCATTTATTTTGAAACAAACAATTGGGCAGTACGTATATAGTCTTTCACAAATTGCATGAACCAAAAGAGAGAAAAAGGTAAATCATTTCGAGAAATGAGGGTGGATGAACAAACCTCATATGTCAAAGTACCTCCACAAGAATCAGGCTGTCGAAGTGTAACATTGGAAATCACGCCATTTGCAGAAAGAATACAAATGGCTCGAGGACCTTGTTGAGAAAATGATATGATCTTCATTGTGATATCCTAAAACAAACAAGAAAGTTACTAAAATAACAAAATACTTGTACAAGAAAGAGACAAAGTTAATGCAATGCTTAAAGTCATTGGATTTTAGCATACAATTCAGTTAAAAAAAGAGAAGAAAATTTTTGGGATGTTAGTAATATTGTAGATATTCCATGCATAATCAGTAGTCAGTTGCACAATTCAGAAATTAATTGTAAGCAAGTATTGAATCTTCTATTGTTGTTCCTATCATATTACTCTTCTATTAGTATTATATATTTATATGTTCTCTCTTTTTTTTTATTAGTCATGGATTCTTCAATACCGTAACAGACAAACTTCATTGATATCATCATTCATACTTCACAAAAATGAAACATCCAAACTCAAAAATAATTGTGATGCCTTACCGATCCAGTAGTTTTCATGGCAGTTTCAGGTATAGTCAGAATACTCTAGTACCTACCTACTAATGATGACTCGGTAGGTTCTCCGGCAAATTATAGCGGAGACCTGGGATCCAAATCCTGTTGCTACCAAGGGTTGGGGGGTTATGGGTCCCCCCCCCCCCCCTTCCAGTTGTATAGCACCATAAAACCAGAAAAAAAAAAAAGAATACTCTAGTACCAAATTATTATATTGTTGGAAGAAGAAAAGACAAAGCACATTATGATTTTATTTTTTCGATAATTAAAAACATGTTATGATTATCAAATGTAAAGTCAATAACTATTAGACTTTTCAAATGAGAACATTGGATACAGAGTCAAAAGTAATCAAGAAATTAATGTAGGTTTTGAATCTGAGGGTGGCCACTGGCCACTTTGTGCATGACAGAGGTTAGGTTCATATCCATTCCATCCCTCCCAAGCAGAGTTGCATGAAAACAAACACATGAGACCAGAATCTGATGCGTGTCTGAAGTCTGACTTGGAAAGATGAAAATATAAGGACTTGTAGACATATATAGAAAAGTATAAACTATTAAAATAGTACATTTTTTTTTAATTTCATATTACAGGATAAGGTTTCAAAGTCCATCTTTGTTATTCAACAATGTTTTATAGGAAAAATAACATTTATTGTGTACAGTAACTGTCCATTTATGTCAAATAATAAAAGCAAGAGAAAAATGTTATGTAGAAGTGTCCATCAAGAATCCACGGAGGGTACACATCCAACATGTCCAACATGGACACTTCATCTTTTTAAAAGAGTCCATGCAACACTCGGCAAAGCACCCAAAAGTCAGGACCAGCATTGAGCAAAAGCCTTCTGTTTTTCTGTAGTGATGTCCATATGCAATGGACCAAAAACTTTTGTATATATTCCCTCAAATATTGCTAGCCTAAAGACCGTTCAGCAACTTGAAATTTAAGATATAAAATTTACAATCTCATATAAGACATCAAATAATATGGAATATGATATACAATCAGTGATCATGAAAATCAATTAAGAAGCAAAGAAGATCACTTGGGCATGTAATATCAAACTTTCAACTACTTAAACAGATCTTTTCTTTTTGTAGAGAAACAAGCAGATCTTTTTTTTTCTTGTAGTAAACTGCTTAAGCAAATCTCATTTGAACAGAAAGAAATAACACATCATTGTCATTCTCCCAGGTTATAATGTATAGATTTCTTTCTTAAAAATCGATTGCAACACCTAAGCATTGTGACCTCTTGATGCAAGTTGTTGCCTAGAGCCCTAGGCAACAAACACTCATTGATATCCAAAACTTTAAAATGGGAACTCAACAATAAAATTACAATATAAATGATCTATGCAGTATGATATTTTCAGTTACCAACCAAAACAATTATTGCATATAAAACTGATATAGGTTTTAAACCCAGTTGCATGGACTCTCCTAAATGGATGAAGTGCCCATGTTGGACATGTGCCAGAGTCCAACTCTCCATGTTCTTAAGTGATACACCGATACTTCTGCATAACATTTTTCTTTCACTCATTGCTTATTTGACAAAAATGAATAGCTATTGTACACATTGAATGCCATTTTTTTCTACAGAATGCTGCCATGTAACAAAGATAATCTTTTAAGAACTTCTATAGTTTTATAATGTTGAAATTCAACAAAATATGGAGTACTTCAATAGTTTATGCTTTCTTATAGACACATCCATAAGTCCTTTTTTGTCTTTCTGGCTAAGATTCCTGGGCACATGTCAGATTCTGGTTCTCGTGTCAGTGTCCACGCAACACCCAAAAAATGTTAGAGCAATGAAAAATATTTCATCAACCAAAATACTGATTTTCAAGTTACATGTCTAGCAGATAAATGCTGATCATGCCAACTAAAGAGTGTGCAGAACTGATCTGACCCAATTTAGGACCCAGATAATGTCATAATATCCAAATGCTTAAACCAATGGTGTGATACAGGCTTCAAAACATTGCAAAAACCCTCATTTGAAATAATTATGTATCTATATTGACTATATTGCAAATGCTTTTAATGTAAAAGGGTCATTACCCAATGATGGTCCCATCCATCTGAGGGTCTTGGGAGGGATAGAATGGATAAGGACCAAACCTTTGCCAGTTTGCCCTTTTTTTGCATAAAGTGCTGCTCTCAGACTCAAAGCCAATATTAATGCTTGTCAAGTGTCAGCCTGAAATTTTAACGTCGCACTAACCAATGGCTCCTAAAAACATGTCCAAAAAGTGAGGGAAAATGCATATGATGAGATGGATGAATGGATAGGACCAGAAATGAAGTAATTAGAAGGAACCTAGGAGTTTTCAACCAAAAAAAAAAAAAACTAGGAGTGGCTCCAATAGGTGAAAAAATGAAAGGAAGTATACTAAGATGGTTTGGTCACATGCAGAGAAAATCATTAACAGCACCTGTAAGAAGTGATCTGTTGCAAGTTGAAGGGGCTAGAAGGGCTAGGGGTAGACCAAAAAGGACATGGGACGAAGTAGTAAGAAATGATTTCAGTGCCCATAATTAAAATGAAAATGGCATTAAACAGAACAGAGTGGCAAAATGGGTTTCTTGTAGCAAGCCAACCCCATATAGTTGGGATAAGGCTAGGATGATGACAATGACAGCAATGACTAACCAGTTACCAATGGCTCCTAAATAATAATATCTTATAAAGTACAATATATTACCTAATAAATCAATAACCATTGACAGCCTAGACACTATAGACATCACAGGATTCCTACATATGCAATGTGGTCACCTATGATATGTTTTAAGCACACTAGATATGATATTAGTTTACTGTTTTTGAAAACCAGACAATGCTAACCATAGGAGCAGGTCAGACAGGAAACTTGCCCAGTATAAGGATGGTCCATGTTGAACTGGAGGTTCTAAGAGAAAAATTGCTTTTTATCAGATGAGCAACTAGACTTCTAATACACTTGAACAAGCTATCTTGGTTATGCCCATATTTTTACAAATTTTATGTTAAGAAATTCAAGCAACTTGACTTATATTTTTTATGCAATTAAATATAGAATTAGTCATTATTGGTTTATAGGTTTATCACAAGCATTCAAAATGAAATGTTCCCATTCTAAGTAATTTTCCACTTTCCACTCATGTCATCATGACTCATGAGATTAGCCTTTCTCCCTTTTTATTTCGGCTTTTTGTATATCATATGAAAATTTCCATTTATTGTTTTACTTTATGATTTTCTAATGTATTTAAGTCAGTTTTGACTGGTCCAGCTTGATTTGAATTGGATTCTATCAGTTTCACAAGTTTTCTGATCAGAGATTAGTGCAGTTTATACACAGTTGTTTCTATGATTATTACAGCTAATCTAATATTTCTTAAGATCCAATCAAAAGCTTCTGTTAGTTTTGCATGTTTATCATCAGCATTGCATGGGGTCTACCCTCTCCCCCAAGTTTTTCTGATGTAAACAAACATCTAGAATACATTATGCATTCGTTTTTTTTCCTATAGAACATTCCTAGGTAGCAAAAACAAACTTCATATCTATGATGCCCTTTACTATAGGTATATAATGTAAAGATTTAAAAGAGACCTATTTGTTACTAGTAGCTATTTTTTATTCAGAAGTGTCTATGAAGCCTGATTCTGTATTCACTTGCTGAGCCAAAATCCACAAACGAGTTAAATTTACATCTCACATCCATACTACCACTAATATTTAAAATTTCTTTTACGTCTCAATTTTCCTTTTCTATCATGGAATTATCTTTTTATCATTCTTTTACATCTAAAATATCATTTCTCAAGACTTATGTTTTGCCCAATATAATTAAATTCCAACAAGTCTATATTTTTATAGTGTGATTTGTTAAAACATGCTATTTTACATGTTTTGAATCTCTAATTTAATAAAATTTCTCATTACTTATAAAAAAAATGCTTTTTTACATATTTCAAGAGTGTTAATGCTACAGAGTACATCTAAAAGTGTGCATGCAGTATCCAGTGTCATATCCAATAAGTATCATGTCTGACACCATTACACTGGACATATACAGGTATCTAAGTATTGTAGTTTATTACCAACATTGCATGGGTTCCCTGAAATGGAAGAACTGTACGAATCAAAGATATTCCAGAATTGCAAACACTCCATGGGTTCTTGAAGGAGACCTGTTCATAGTGATTACTTCTATGATACTCAAACAACTGTATATGCCTAGCATACCAATGCCAAATTCATTATTGAATATTGCATGGATACTTCTAGATGTATTCTATAGCATTAACACTTCTAAAGTATGTAAAATGGAATGTTTTAACAAATTATGTTATAAAAGAACTGTTCATCCTAAAAATTTAATTAAATTTGGCAAGACATAAGTATTCAGAAATGACATTAGCTTCAAAAATTGGATATAAATGCATACAAGCATTTTACATGGGAAGCCCATACACATATCAATGCTCAGGATTTTAGGAAATGGAGATTCATATCCCTGTTTCCCATATCTGTATCTGAGCATCATAGGATTTCTTTTCAACTTTCCATTTTCTGATCATGAGACTATCTTTTTTTCCTTTTTAGTTTCTTTCTACTCTGATACTGTACTACTTTTCTGATTATAATTATATTTATATTCATGATTATTTCATAAAAGAATATTGGTTCAATCAATATCCAACTGTGTTCAGACAAGAGATCAATCAACCAGTATGGAAGTTTGTTGACCAGTCACCTGTGCAACTTCAAAATAACAGTTTTGACGATTCTTTCTTTTTTTAGCCATGAAACTGTTTTCCACAACTGAGGATACATTCTACAAGATTATATAGACCCTCTTTAATGAGAGGATTATCCATGTCAAATACATAATGTATTTGGAGTTTTGGACACCACCTAGGTTCTGGAAGGATTTTTGCATAATGTTTTCTTTTCTATCTTCCTTTGATTTCAAGCTTAAATATATGAATTCAAAGAAATATAATTATTTACTAGTAGATTTTTTTTGTTTCTTTGCACATGTCCCCGAGATAAGGCTTAGATGATGATGAATGCAAAGTTTTGTATCCATGCAACATCATTATCACTAATACATCATATCAGATGCCATTCATGTTAACTGTCCATTTCCACTTTATTCCTCGTGATATTTTTTTCCTTTATGTTTTCTTTTTATTTCGATGTTACAATAATTTGCCAATTATAATTATATTTTATATTTGATTCATAAAAATCGGTTTGTTTGCTCAATCCAACTGGGTCAAAGCAGGGTTCAACCAATTTGTAAATTTTCCTGACCAATCCAAGTGCACACATGCTTTTCTATAATTAAGCCAAAAAGGAGAAGAGGCATGCTACAGCTCCCACAACCAGATGTGAAATAAGAAAAGAGACCTGGCAGATTTCAGAACTAACGAAACTATATTTTTTCTTTACGTATACCTCGCCAGCAGCAACAGTGATGACATGAGGCGTGAAATTTGCACCAACAGAGCATTTAACCCAGTCACCTGCAAAATCCTTTTTTAAGAAATCATGAAATTCAAATAAAAATATTCCTACTCTGCAATGAATTTCCTAGTGCATGCATTCCTGTGATAAAAATGCAGTCTTAGAGCCAGGCCTAAATTCTATTCTATCAGAAGAAAGAATGTGCTATGATTTACAGAGAGAAAATTTTAGGGTCTTCCAAATTTGACTCAAAGTCATCAAGTGGCATTTACAGATTATTGGAAAAAACAACCCTACTCAATAAGGCAGCCTTCCTTTTTGTTATAAATTACTCAAATACCATGAAGCTTATTTTTATGCCATCACATGCTTAAAATTGCATTTTTAGATGAATTGTTGCCTTCTTATGGTCAGTGATCACAGATTCATTCTTAAAGCAATATCAGTACTTACAAATGACTCAGTTTTCAAATAATCAATTGTAACTTGTAAGTGAGCTTCTTTCCAACGTTTCATTTAAGTGAAAAATACCAGGATGAAAAAAAGGGGATGGGGCTGTTCAGAAAATTATTCAACGAGTCCAATTTATGAATTCTGCTCTGATGTTTCCTGCTTCGGCAAGAAAAGAAACTAGAAAAGACAACCTAAATGGATCTTTTTTAAGCAGGGAGAAGGATAGGCCAAAATCACATTACGTCCTGCAGAGAACAAGTTTCATTAGTTGGAATTAAGAAATTCACTGCAAAACTGAGCACGTATAATGCACAACATATAAGGATAGCATAGAAGATCTCCTTATTTGGGTCCCATTGTGAAGGAATCAAACAAACAAACCTAAGAACCTCTGCCAATCTAGCTACATTGCTAAGACACCATAATTTCTGCAGTAGAATCAAGAATGAGGCACCCCCCTCCCTCCCCGAGAAAAAAGAATGAAATGCATATATCATAAATGTCAATTCTTTGGCCTGTTTTCACAGAACAGTCTCACATAATGTTTTGTCCTTCTCTTAAGAAGTACTGTCACAAAAAGGCAAGAAGTGCCAAATCTTACACAGAAGAGGAAGATTCCCTGATTCCACATCAACCCTACAAAAGTCTACCTCTTTATCAGAGCCTTTCCAGATCTGAGAGGGGCATCCCTGCAAAGGTCCCACATCAACCCCAACAACGATCCTCAAAACCTCGAACGTAAAACTCGGAAGTGAAGTATAAAATCTAAAGATTAACCCGACCACGAAACCCAAGCAAAAAAAACTGCGAAATTTCACATAAGACAAACTCAACCACCGAAACTACAGCAGATAAGAAACTAAAACAGTATCATGGTAAGTAAAACTCATACTCTAAACTTAGAGGAGAGTTCCATTACCTAAATTCTCGACCTCGAACTTGGGTTGCTCTCTGTTGATCAAACCAACTGGCCGCCCTCTACCCCGCTTCCCGGCCGAGAAATTGCTGACGACCGGCGGTGCCGATGACGAAATTGGAATCGGCGATAACGCCAGGGAAACGGTCCCACCGGGACCGTACTTCCTAGGCCTCCCTCTTTTCTTCTTCATTCCAGTAGCTGCCATCGCCACATTAACCTGTGTAGCCGCCACGGCTGCCGAGGTTGAAACCTGTGGAGGGTTATCCGTTCTTGCAGCTACATGGAAGTTGGGTGGAGCATCTGCTCCCATCACAGCAATTCCAGTGCTCATTCCTTCTCGTGCTTCCATTTATCTTAAACAAAACCCTAAAAACAACCCACAGAAAATGCAGATTTTAATTAACGAAACACTAACACACACAAACAACAATCTTCAAGCTTCAAAAATGAGCAGTTATATTAAACATACAAACTTAACCAATAAACAGAAAAAATTAAAAAAAAAAAAAAAATAGAGCACTAGGATTCCCCATTGCAGAGCAGAAAGATACCTTCAATGGCTACTCGTTAACATTTGCAAAACAAAAAAAAAGAAAAAAAGAAAATACAATAATTCTATGTTGCAGTGAGGTATGGCTGAATTAATTGAAGATTGTCTTCATTGTTGCCAAATTTCTCTACTGCTCCGACAGATTCTCGACTTACATGTAAACCGGATTTCGGGTCCGAAAAACCGCTAGCCGTTATCGTTCGAAGACTGGTTTGCAAGAAACTGGTTTGCAAGAAAAAGAGAAAGAGAGTGAGAGAGAGAGAGAGATCAAAAACGAAAAATCAAACAAAATTAAATTAATTAAAATATAAAATTAAAATGAAAACAATATTTTAATCTCAAAACCCGAAATATACGATTTGGTTGAGTAAATGGTTCGCGTCCGTAAAAAAAAATATAGTATCATTATTAAAGGGATTAAAAAATAAAAATAAGTAATAGATAATAAAAAATAAAGAAATTTCGAGAAAAAGCAAATGGCTTTTTTAAATTTTATTCTTTTTTATTAAGCTTCCATTTAAAGCTGCCAAGTAACGTTGGAGCCCCGCCCTTTTTCCTACTGCTGGCTTGCTCTGCTCTTTGTCTCTTTCGGCACTTAAAAAGATGAAAATAAAAGTCCAAAAATGGTCTCCTATGTTTCGAAAACTACGAAGGGTAACCACGCGAATTATGAAAAAACAGAAAAGAAAACGAAAGGTCGTTTGTTTGGTACTTGGGTAGTTGGAAGGGCCGTCGTATATTGTCTGATGCAATCGGAATTTGCTCCTTAGAGATCGCACCTTACAACGACCTTGCATCCCCATTTAATCGTGTACTGGGAATATCTCCATCAATAACAACACAAATCATGAGAGATGTTCTCGATGCGCGGCTGCAAACATTGTGAGGTTGGAGTCTGAAGCGGTTTGTAAGGATGAGATCCAGACTCTGTCTGATGTCTGAGCGAGTTCTCAATCTCTCGTATCTCATTTTTTGTACGATTGCGATGTATACGAACTGGGAATAATAGTCCACAGCAGCCGGACCGTACTGGACCAATAATGATACGCCACGTCAGCGTTGAATATACCGGCGCACAGAGCTGACATGTTGCATCATGATTGGCCCAGAATTACAATTAACCACCAATGTTGGATGCGAAATATTTTTTCATACTAAACCCTTGTTTGGGAGTGCTTAATGGATAAATGTGTTTATCCTAATAAGCATTATGAATGTTCGTAAAAATCACTTCGTTCAAACATGTATAGTAGATATTTTGAAAATTATGTGGTGGGCCAAGACAGGCCGAAAACACAACAAGTGCTTTTTTAAAAAGCGCTTGAAAAGAAAAAAAGAAAGCAAAATTTTGAGCTTTTTAAAATGAGTTTATTTTCTGAAAAAGCACTTATTTAGGCTCATTTCCCAAATATGCATAAGTGCTTATGGGTATGGTCCCAGCCAAAATTAAGCATTTTTCCAATAAGTATATAAAAATAAACACCCCAAACAAAGATTTAACTCATGAGACTCAAGAAAAATGATAATGTCAAACACATTTTGAAAAATAGAAGTGGCTATAGCAATTGCCAAACATTTTTTGAACGATTCCAAGTTTCCAACCTATCCCATAGTGCTCCTGCAAGACAATTTCATGAATAAGACAAATAAATGAATTATTATAAGATGATTTTGTGAATGACATTGCTAAAATATATATAATATTGATTGATGAGATATAATTATATAAATAAATGGGACAAATTTGCTCAATGAGTCACACACCAAATTCACTGGATGGACCAATGAATATTTATTTTATTAGCCTTACTAAGCAAGCAAACTTGAATATTCAATTAAAAACCTTCCCCCTTCACCGTCTTCATGTAGAAAATGAAAATACTTTGGACATTTTTTGATTCCAGTTTGGAATTTTCAATGGCAAGGGATATTATGTGATGAGCGGGGTGCATGGTTAGATATGATGATAATATAAGGTTAATCCCTTCACCCTATGAGACTATAAATTTTGCTAATGTTTTCATATATGCTTATAATAAAAAAAAAAAATCAAGAATGGGTTTTTTCCCTTTTTCTTTCTTTCTGGATTCAAAGTTGACCAGTAATTCAATATATGATAGTGGTTGATATGATAGCCCGCTTCCAAGTTTTAGATAGAGATTAATTTGAAAGCTAAGCAAGAGGTTGATAGATTGTTGGAAGTGTGTAGTGATAATACCAATTAACTAACCTGAAAAGCTTTGAAACCTTAAAATATATATATTACAACCTTAGTCCTCTGAAAATTTAAGAGGGAAGTTGGTCATATATTGCTAGATGGTCCTAGGTCATCAGTTGTCAATTACCATATCTAATTTACTTTGTATTGTTTATTATTATTATTATTTTTTTGCTATTATCATTTCTCTCTAGGGTGAAATTAACCAGAGCAAGAAGATATCATGGTTTAAAATATCGATACACTTGATATACCGGTAGAGGCGTATCGGGCCATTTCGGTACTTTTTTTTTTCAAAACCAGTTCAGGGGGGTCAATTTAAGGCACCTCCACCCCTTGAACCAGTCAAAACCCTGATACATCCCTACAGGGGGTGTATCGAGGAGCTCCCAAAATGATACGTATCGACCGACATGGGCCAATACATGTTGATACTTTGAACCTTGCAAGATATTATAAACAATAAGATGAGAATAGATGAATCCCACCAATGGATTTAAGAAAAAGTTCATGTAGATTAACTATAACATGAAAGAAAGACTAAATTTTAATTACACCCAACAAAATAACCCTAGCAATAGCATTACTTAATGCTTGTGAATTTATTCAAGTAAAAGATTTGTTCATTCATACTACATTTGGTATTCTTTACAAATAAAAAAAAAAAAATTAAAAAGATACTACATTTAGGGGGTGTTTGACAATGTGAACGTTTTTGTTTTCACTTGTTCTCTAACTTTGCTTTTGTTTTGACAAGTGAAAACAAAAATTATATTATGATATTATGTTGTTTAAAATAAAAACATATTTTCACTCTAAAAACATTTGAAAACAGAAAACACGTGCACAATCAAGAGCATGTTTGTATGTTTTTTTGTTTTTCAGAAACAATTTATTTCCAAATTAGATGGTTTTGATTTGTTTTTAGAATTGGTAGCAAGATAAACAATTCATGATAGAGAATATCTCCTTAGAGTTTACTTAAAGAAGTGATCTTGCTCTCTGAGTTCCGAGTCTTCATATACATGGATAAACTGAGTTTCCCACATGTAGGGAAAAGGAGAAGAAAAGAATTCCTTTGTAGGTCTCTGCTATATATCAAATGTGCCCAAACTTCAAAGTTCATCTCAAATATCAAGTTAAATTCTTAGGCAAGAGATATTTGAACTCTGATCACCCATGTTATAATAAAGCAGTCCATGTTGCAAGATATTACAATGTGAGACTCAATATTCCTTGAGAGACTGTGTGTTGGTATAGTGAGAGAGAGAGAGAGAGAGTGCTAGTTGTTTAATGTTATCAGTCACTAACTGTAATCAAGGATCAAAATTTCATCACTTATCAGCCCGTTTCGGTCGATAGATATCATATGGGAGCTTTCTCGATATACCCTTACAGGGAGTGTTTCAGGTCGGCAAGTGGTTCAGAGGGTAGACCGGCCTTAAACCTGCTCCTCTAAACCAGTTTCGATAAAAAAAAATAAAATAAAAACAGTACCAATAACCTTGACTGTAATTAGTTCCCGAATTATGATCATATTGATGTCTTATGGATTGTTTTATTATTTTAGATAAAAAGATTCTTCAATCTTAGAAAAATGCATTCAAGCACATTTAATTTATACAAATGAAATTCAAAAAAGATCACTATATAAATGTCTGCTTCCTTTTTCTCCAAACTCTCCCAACACATATGATGAGGAAAGAAAACAATTATGCTAGCGAAAAGACAAAGAAACCATGGTTTGTTTGTTATCATACAAGTCAAAAACATGGGGTGTTTGTGTTTCCATCTTTTTCTGTATCATGATTCATGATCAAGGGTGTGCGGTGTGTCCTCTTTTATCAAAAATGGAATGCGCTCAAATTAATCCCCATTTTATAACCTTTTATTGTGCTTTCCTTGCATGACTTTACTTCAAATAATTATGCAGTGCTTAGAATCTTTCGTTGCAATAATTATACCACCCATTACTTTTTTAATAGGTTAAACACTTTTTTATTATAACATATTTTAATTTTTTATTTGAATAGCAAAAACTAGGATAAAATTTTTAAATAGGATCACTAGCAAACTTATCTTTATACTATCTTTATTTCTCAATATAATAATAATAATAATAATAAGTATTATTATGTTTATTATGTTTATACTTATCTTGTTGCCATAACATTATTATAAGCATTAGGTGTTAATTGGTAAACATTTTGATGATTATTTTATGTTTTGATTGAGAAAATGGACAAGTAATTATTCATTACATTAGGCTATGTTTGGTTTGAAGGAAAAGGAAAGGAAAGAAAGGGGAAGGTAGAGAAACCCATACAAGGTTTCTAAAGGTTTTCCTATCTTTTCTTTCATTTCCCTACTTTTTCCTTCAAATCAAACACAGCGTTGGTAAAACATATTTCCGTTATCAATATATAATTCTACTTAATTTTAGTAGTCTTCACCATTGAATGGTTTTTTTCAGAATTTATGTAACAAATAAACCAAACTCTTGGAAGAAATCATGAAAATCAGTTTAATAATCTAAAAAACTTTTTAGTTGGAATCTTCTGCAAACAAAACCACATTCCAACCCTCTACCAACTTGATCTAACACCGCACATCTAGCCATGAGATTGAGACCCATCAAAAAAGTGGGACCCGCCATATATGAGATGTGTGGTGTGAGGTCATGTTAGTAGAGAATTGGAACGAGTTTTGTTGGTAAGTGATGCAGACTGATCAGTTAACATATAATCTCCCTGCCATAATTGTTTGGCAGCACTCAATTTCATTTTCCCCTTTGGGTAACACAAGTACATCCAAGTCCCAACCAAGGTGGATAATCAAACCACAGCTAAAGAAATTTTGTATTCCAACCAGTGTTTTAAGGCTCGGCCCGGACCAAACAATCGGA